TTCTGCAACACTCAATCAGAACGGTCGAGCGGTTGAACTTTTTTACGAACACTGGCCGGTAGTGGGCGAAATCACTCAGCCGTGGAGAAAGAGGCATATGCTATCGTGGAAGCTATAAGATGGCGGCACTATCTACTCGGAACTGATCAGCACGCAGTTGCTTGTATGTAGAATACGAAGCTAGAAGGAATTCAAATGTCGTATCGAGCTCTCACAGTTCTCTTGCGATGTGGTATATCGGTCTGGTACTCAGAATTCCGCAGCAGACACATTATCGAGGGCAGACTGTGCTGCCATCCATACACCCAATGCACTGAAGCGCATCCACGAAACACTATGCCATCCTGACGTTAGTAGACTTTTCCACTACATGCGAGCGAAGAACTTGCCTTTTACATAGCAAATGTAAAATCAATAATCCAGCAGTGCTTTGTATGCTTTCAGCTGAAGCGATGCACATCAGTCAACAATCCGCTAATCAAAGCAATTCAGCCTTTCGAACGACTACGCATGAACTTCAAGAGAACAGTACCTTCGGCCTCGCTTAACCGCTACATACTCACAGTTATCGACAAGTATTCCAGATTCCCGTTGGCATAGGCCTGTCTTGACATCACAGCCTCCACTATCATATACAAGCTCACTAAATTGTTTTCCATCTTTGGAATGACATCGTATGTACATTCTGACAGGGGTTCCTCGTTCATGTCAGAAGTGCTGAAAACATTTCTGTATGAGCGTGATGTAGCAACCAGCAGAACCACTAGCTACAATCCCCAATTCAAAGGGCAAGTGGAGGGACTCAATGCTACATTATGGAAGGCTATCTCACTCAGTTTACGGTCACAAAGTCTGGTAATTGAACAATGGGAGGGCGTGCTACCAGAAGCCCTACATTTTATTCCTTCATTGCTGTGCACTGCCACTAATGCTACACCTTACGAACGTACGTTCCTGTATAACAAAAGGCCACCAGTTGGAATTACCCTAGCATTATGGTTACTATTGCCTGAACCTGTCCTCCAGCGCAAAAATGCGCGCTCCTCCAAGTACGACCCTCTTGTCGAGGAAGTAGATCTGCTAGAATGTATTCCAGATTACGCTCATGTTCGGCTGTCTGATGGTCGCGAGGAGACAGTATCTTTACGCCATTTGAAACCTAGGGGACACGAAAGCGATCCCCCCGACGTAACGACATACAACTCCACAGATTCATCGATCCCCTCCCAAGCACACTCGTTCGCATTCGAATCACCTTGTGTTACACACGATTATTCACTTACGCGTTTCGCCCTATGGGGGCTCGTTAGTGGTGCGTTTGGCTACATAATTTGCAAGCCAAAAAATCGCCTTCCCTAGTTTCAATCCTCCTTAGAGGACCGAGGGAACGCGCACCACTGACGAGCCCCAATGGGGCGAAACGCTTTGTTGCTTTTCCGGACTAGGCTATGCAAGGTAGCTTGTGAACTACTGGGAAGAAAGCCTTATCGGAATTACAACCAAAATCCTGCTACTCGAGAGTAATATAAAGTAAAAATAGCCTCTCCTAGTTTCAAATGCTATGGATATAGCGTCTAGTGGGAGGACGTCATCACCTCGGAGGCTAACCACAGTCAGTGACAGTGAAAGATAGGTCGTGCTATATCCCAGTAAGTTTGCAAATTATGTAGCCCAGCCAACACCCCCCATGTCTCAGTGGCTTAAGCTGCTGGCTAGTTGGCATCCGCCTCTAGCGGTCATGGGTTCGATCCTTCTTAGAGGACCGAGGGAATGCACACCACTGACGTGCCGCAATAGGGCGAAACGGGTCTGGAACTTTTACGGACTAGGCTCTGCTATGTAGCTTGTGAATTACTGGGAAGAAAACCTTGTCTGAATATTAATTATTGTTCACATCTTTTTAATAAATACCATTATTATTTTGTCGGCATGTGCTAAGGCAACTTAGTGGCTAGTACCTAGGTGCATTCTCAGATTTGATCTGGACTGAATCTCAGGACCGGATTTGGCTCGTCCATGCCTTCATCGTTTGCAAATCGAACGTTGAATCATGTGTCACACGTGCCCTTCACCACAATGCCAATGCGTAAACCAACTGGCATGGTTTGGATATTTTCTCCAGATTTCACGACAGAAGGAAGTAGCAGGCCTCGAACAAGGTCGAAACGCGTAGTCGAGCGCAGTGTTTTCAGGTAGGCAACACCCACCTTCCATACGTCCCAGTGATCGAATTGGTCAAGGTTCGCTTTAATGCGAATCACGGTCCATGTTGAGATTGCGCGTCGCAAGCCAACCACACAACGAGTACTTTAAAATGACCCTCCAAATGGAAATTTTTAAACTTTATTTCCAAGTTCGTTAAGCTACTGTAAGTGAACTGGGGCTACTGACATGCTGGTGATCCGACGTAGAACATATCACCGGGATTGTTTAAGTGACTAGTGTGCGGGTGAGCGACTTTTGCTACCCCTCTGGAATTATGCTTCGTTTTCAGGTCTTGAAACTAATTGAAATTAGACCGAACAGGAATATTTGACGATACAAAACGCTCAGTATATTGCGTCACAGTGACCAGACCAGACAACACTCACTACTTTAGTGGTCCCATGGGTTACCGCATCAACGCGACCTTTAGCCAGTCTTGTGAGTCCTCTCTGACTGGCAATGGTTCTTGCGGATTCGCTACAGCTTTAGTTGATCTCTGACATCAGTTGCAATGCGACGTACGTGTGTAAACACAGTTTAGTGAAGATCGAGTTCAGTGGCCGGTCGCTCCAGCCCGCGCGCATTGATCACACTCATGGAACGAACTGCATCCAATCATCGTCTTTGGCTAATCTAGTGGAATTGGCAGTGATCTGACAAGTTAACATGCAGCGACCGTGTCGACAAATCTCGCGTTTCATTAGCTGAGGAGAAGAGTCGATACTACTCAGCGCCCGACCTAAGGCTTTAGTTGTCTGTAAGGGATCGCCCTGAAGCTAGGTGGCCGTTCGTTTCTCTCAACACTGACCACCGCGGGAGGTGGCGACACTATCAGTGTGTCGATAGATATGTGGTGCACAGTAACGCCACGCTACTGGGTGGATCAGATATAACGTCAGCGCACGCTTAAGACATGAAAAGGCTACACATTTATGAGCACGAGTGACTGTGCAGAAATTCTCCTACTCAGCAGAAGCAGAGGGTTAGCGGAACACAAGTACAACAGATAGTGTATGGCGGCCCGTGGACGAAATGATCACACACCTGCCCTGTAATACGGATGTCGCGGGTTCGAGCTTGCGCGGGGACCAGGTGACCATCGCAGTATCCCTAGCCCAAGTGCGACTGGTGGTAGTTACGCGACAGCGAAGCGTCGACACTGCGTAACGACGGCAAACCTACCGTCAACTGGGTGAACCGCCTGCTAAACCTTGATTATAGACAGTTGCTAGGAGGTACTTAAGACAGCACCTGTAACTTGGCAACACTGGGTATGGATAGCTGGTTTTGCAGAGTTGCAAGTCAAAGGCGAAAAGGACTTGAGAGATCCCACCAAAGGAATTCGAAATACATGGTAAGACTGGCGCTCATCTATTATCGTGAGATGGGGGCACGGAGGTAACCACGTCAGTAGTTGGAAGCACAATGTGGAGTAGTGTAGTAGAGCGGTTATTTGTGGATCTTGAATGTGCCGTCTTCCTTACTCGGTAACCTGCCAGTTGACTGATTTCCACATTCTAGACCCGTTCAGCCGACATTTTTATTTATTTTTCTCATCAGTACGCACAGCAAAAAATCGGTTAGCTCTAGAAATACACAAACCAGAAATCTCAACACCCCCAAAAGCTCGGCTTTGAATTGAACTGCCAAGGGGAATAGAATTTGTACGAGCACTTTGGAGGGTTTCTAAAGCATTCACGTACAAAACAAGTAGCCATCCCAATGCAACCCATAAATGATTAGGGTTGACACCAACAAGTGTGAAATGCACATGGTCCCAGATAACTGCGTCTTTCGTTAGTGAAGCAATGCGGTGAATAACTGGAGAGTTAGTCAACACCCCATGACTACTGTCGTAAGCTCTCGACAGTAAGCACTAAGCTAAGAGAAGCTGTGTGGTAATTAGCACCAGTGATGACCAAGTGACCGCTGAGATCACAGTTAAGTTGCTGGGTTTCACACGAGGCAACGCAGTGAGAGCCGAATCATATCTAAGACAGGTGATTTACTTACGTCACTATCTGGGAGGTGAGACTTCCCCAAATGGAAATCGAGCGCCGTCAATAGCCGTTTCCATTCATTTTAGAAACTAAGATAGGCGTTAAAGATCTGACTGTCGGTCTACTAGTCTTGCTTTATTTCTCAGAGTTTGGGATTGTAATCGTGTTGGGATATAGCTTTCTCGTCCCAGGATACTCGCGACTTTCGTGTGTGACCGATCTTGGGTCAATGGTTCCTAATTAGTCTGTCCGCGATATAACAAAGCTGGGTGTACCGTCAGCTAGCCAGTAAGGCACCCAACGAATGACTCGCAGAAGCGTCAGAAACAAGGAAAATTTACCGTAACTGGGACTTCGTCGAGTTCCATGAAGAAGTGCCTTGATTTAACCATAATAAGTGAGATACACCATCGGTACTCTTAACTACAAATGCATACGTTGGTTACGCGCAACGGTAAGTTGCACTGAAAATAATCATTGCTCAGATGGAATAGAAGTTAGTCCCTAAACATAACTTGACTACCTCACCTACGCATACACAACTTTGCAGTCGCAGTGGAACAGAATCCACATTAAATGCAGCGCACAAAACCTTACTCTGAATTCTGGCCGATTTCGTGGAAATCAATTGTCAATGAGGACAGTCTGATAGGCCCTAGTACGTAGCACTCCGATCGCATGGGCATTTGAAACACTGAAAGTCACCAAAGCAGTTTCAGATAACAAGTGCCGAACCACAGTACATCCATTTGACGTATCTGGCATATAGGCGCATCAACAAGTGGTCAAGTAATACAAACAGAGATCATTGTACAGTGGGGGGTGTACATGCAAAGTGAGGAAAGGCTCAAGGTAAACAATATTAGTGAAGAAATACAAAGGGAATGGGGAGAAGAAATGCAACGATGGCGATGGCCCGAAGTCAAGAAGTACGAGAAAATAAAGGCAGAAAAAGCAAGGAGAATAAATACTCGGAAACCAGGTAACAAATAAAAAGCGAAACAATAGTGTAAAATGCTCACTAAATTGATAGGCTAGATAAATAGTATGAATAGACAGGAGTCATGTATATGCTGCGTTGACAGATGACGTCAGCTCCAGGGCATCTGCAACGAAGAGTAGTAACGAAATTAGGTACGTGTAGAAAGAGATTGATGTTAGTGGTCGGGTTCGTTTTCGATAGTGGGCTGAGGGAAGGGATAAAGCAACCTAGAACGAGGTAAGCGTGGAATCCGTACAACGAAAAGTGGTGAAATGCAGGCTATACTAAGAAACGCAACCCATCCATTAATGAGATGTAGGCGCAGGAGTCCTGTGGCAGTCCCCATGTAAGCCGCAGTGACAGGCAAATCGGAATTGCATTTGACCAACCCCATGGTTGGCGGCATCCGGCGCCGGATTTGCCTGTCATTGTAACCTCCATAGGATAGCCACAGGATGCTTGCGCCTACAGATGGACCATGGGTGGCTTGCGCTGCACCATCCACACACCCCATATCCAGTGTAAACCCGAAGGAATAAGACCGGGGGGCATGTGGATGAGAGCCAAGTTTCATCAACGGAGCCGGCCCACACTCCTTCAAAATGCACAGCAGCAGCGTTCCTGTCTATCTAGGTTGGGAATCATGAGTACCAGCAGTATACAAGACGGTGGCTAGGCCGTAGTCAGCTCCACACTGGATGGAACCACTCTTTGAGTTTAGCACGGCCACGAGGACCTTGTACCCAGCCCCCAACCATGATCCACAGTCTCTTGGAGCCAGTAGTGTAGGTGGATGGACCATGTCAAGATGCAAATCAAGCGCAGCCACACCTGGGGTATCAAATAACCAGCAGGAAAACAAACACGTAAACTGGACATTAAATGTGCAGCAGAATGACAGAACTGAGCAAACCGTAATAACACACAATAATTTTGTTCTAGTGTTTGTGATCTTGGGTACATGCATGTCAGGGGATATCAACAAACTAGCAACGAAGGCAAAGAAAAAGAAAGCGTAAAATGCACAGGATTAAGCGAATAGTAAAATTGAATCGGTTCGATCGAGTGTAGTGCGGGAAACGCTCTAACCCAACTACGGTTAAGAAGCATGATGTATGGCAACATCAACCTCAGCATGAAATGGGTGGAGAAGGCAGAGCAAATGAAACACTACACCGAACGCCGACAGCAAAATAAGTTGTGGTTAGTCAATAACGCTCCTGCGAAGGGTCAATATCGTAGCGATGACGGCTAGATGTCAGTGCACGGTAAGTGCGCAGTTCCCGACTTCACCGACCAACGTAATCGGATGGTGAGTCAGACATGCCACGTGTGTTGCATCGCTGCTACAGTTGGACCGCACATATGCCCATGAGTTTGTATTGTCGCATGCCTTTCAGCGTTTGCCAGTTGGTATTCCAGGTCTGGCTGTGCCTGATGCGGATATTCACAGGGTGTGTACCTAGCGAATATCAAGAAGCACGTATGTCTTGTTGTATCGGTTTCCAAGTTCGTCTTTTTAAAAAGGTGTAGTAGAGATTCGCATACATATAAGCGTGAAAGTACCCCGGTTTGTATGAACGATCGCAAAATTCCCTTGCGAGATCCTATGGCTTGTTACATCGGTGTCTAGATTCCAAGATATCGAAAGTAAGTGCTTATTTTTGTATGTTGGTGATAGACGTTTATGTTACACATCACTAGATATACGTAAGAAACCCCCCCCCCGGGAATCCACGTGTCACTGAGGTTTACGATGAATTCAGCAAGAGTACAAAGAACTTTGCAAAAGCCTCATGATAACACAATCTAGGCTATGCCTGGAAATTCGCCCCAAAAGGAGTTCACCGTAACGACGATGTTGAAAGAGAAAAGGTGCTTACCCACTTCTCCTTCGCTTGCAGTGACTTCAATGTCAGAGCCTATGTCAGAGTCGTCTTCAGTAAAAGCTGGAGTTGTAGCGTAGTGCTCGGTGGACGCGCTCATGTCAACTTCGTTGGAAAATCTACCGATATAGTGCTCCGCCTGATCCATGGTCCGCAATAACTGCGTCATCTCATGTTCCGTCTTCTCGAGACGGGCTCGTAAAGCAGATAAGCCGTCAGTATCCACTGGAAATACGAAGGGGTGACAAGTCATGTAGCAAAAGATGGCACAGAGGAAGAACGCCAGAAGTGCAAGTTGAGAGCCACTTCAACTACTACATGAGTGATTGAAAAACCGGGTCCCAATGTGAGCATACAAGATACACAATAACAAATATATCAAGGAAATATCGCGGCTAATCTGATTTCCGGTGTATACTAGCAGACTGACTGGTGGAGACGGCACACATAAATATAACCTTGCTGAACGACATATGTAAAAGTTCCACACCGACAACGTACTGCAGCGTTAACAGGTAATCCAGAAGAGCCAAGAGCAAAAAATCTAACTAAAAGGTGAAAAACTTCGGGGCACAAAGAGGGTGTACTGAGAAATATCCTCCAGTCAAAATCGAACGGGGAACTGTCCGTCACAAATATGCCTCGTGCTCTGTGGCTAGCATTATCTGCGTCACTATCCAGTTTAAGGTGAGCTTTCACATAGAATCCACAAAGTCGTCAACCAGGCCAAACGATCAATATCATCAGTACACACAACCCTACCGATAGACAAGTACTCTGAAGCTAGGGACACCTGAAGTGTGACAGGATAAACAGTGCATGACGCAAACAACTGCTGGTAAAATGAAATCGGTTGATCATCGCCAATCGGGGATTCACTCATACCAGTTAACCAAAAGTAAACGCAATTCAAGAACTAACATTTAAATGATACTGACATTGAAGCACTAAGAGCTGGATCGAGTCTAGAAGCAGCAGCCAGAGCTGTAGCATTGATTACATGACATGTCAATTTAAACAAAACCCGTAGGCAAGTTAAACAGTCCAGGTTTTGGAGATCCGTGAGACAAATTTACCTAACACACGTATAACCACAAATATCTATGACCAGAATAAACGAACAAAATGTGATCTTGACTCATGATAGATGGCAATGATGTGGCAGAGGAGTATCTTGAGGAATTAGAATTCTCACCAAGGGAAAGGAGCATTTGAGGATGCTCGAATGGAGTAGACCACGGAACATCAGTAGATGGGCTACAAGATAATTTTTCTCATTTCTGATTGCGCTAAGGTTTTTATGGACAAACGGTTTATACGATAAAGTTAGGCGAAAAATGTTAAGGGGCCCGTCCGTAGTAGCGCTTGAAGCCAGCTCTCTCCCCAAAGCAGTCCGGAGATTGGTCGCATGTCGTTTGAAGATGACTAACTAACCAATGAGAGCAAGGCAGTGGCGTCATTTTGCCTTGAAGTGGACCAATGTGAATAACTTGCCTTGAAGCCCTCCAGTAACCGCACTACTTGGACAGCCAACAAGCGAGTTTTGCGCACCTAGTAGTTACTATAGTTTGGCACGTTGAATTAGTTCATCCTCTCCTGAGCTATTTACTTTGGTCCCATATTTTAGTTGTATATACTGTCTTCAGGGTGCTCAATACAATTTACGCCTGAGGCATTTATCTTCTGATTTGGGGAAGTGGCTAAATCGTGACCCGAGTGTCTGCATCGGTTATCCGTACTGTCAGCGGAAACAACAGTTTTTGGCGACGGAAGCAAAGGTATTCAAGGTGTCAATCTCAGCAGGAGATATGACATCTATTTTGTTCAACAGTAGTAGCAATTCAAGACCACACAGCTGCGAATTATCGAGACTCACAACCAAACACGACCACCCTAGTCTACAGCCGTTTACAATGCTGAGAAACATTCAGTTGATGCAATAATCAACAGTATCAGTGAGTTTGTGTTTGATCCCGCTTCAGAACTGATATGCCGGACATCCTGATAGATAGTCAGTCCACTTTGATTAACAAAAACGCTTTGGGGCCGAAGTCCCGTTAATTCAGTAAAACAAACGGGCAAAGATCGTCAGCCAATCAGCGGAGTCGTGTAGACTAACACCACGTGTGCTGCGCCCAATAAGAGTCCGTCAGATTCGCTACTCACTGGCTAAGTGGCTATTTCCTTGGAACCATCTGCACATGAATGAGCCTTAACATAACACTATCGGTACAGCAGAAAAGTCTGTTAAAGTAGGCATTATACATGCAAATGGGTGTATGCTCCGCATTTACAATATCAATGCGGATGTTCTGAATGATGGTACTCAGCAAAAATATATAACCAAAACCGAAAAGTTAAGTGTAGAAAGTAGTACAAATAGAACTCGAGGAGCAGCATACATAAAGTATTTGTGACTTTCTTTGGGTCGATAAGAAAACCTGACAAATAAGGCAATTGTGGGAGAATAAAACCCTTTTTGAGCGTGCGTGAGACAGGCAAAGTTTCTAGCAAATCATTGTGGCGGATGAAAGCGAACAGTTAGGACCTTCGAATAAAAATGCTTACGAATAATAAAATCGACCACGGAATCTTTGGGTAAGCCGCTACATCTAGAAGTATGGTCCATTTGTAACAGTCCAGGGAAGATTACCGGGGAACAGCATATCCAGTGGAGTAGTACACATGTAGTTACAAATCTCAAAATCAAACTTTGCGGCACGGAAAGCTTCTTAGGTCTGAAAGCATAAAATGATAATCATCTGATCTTGTGAAATGTTTCAAAAAGGTGTGTGAACGAAGAGAGATTTTGGGACAAATAGACACAGTCCTGAAGTTGAGAGCCGACATTCGTTCGCTAATTGGACTAGTGCTGACGACTAACAACCAATGTTCTGTTGGTACATGCAAGTGAACACCAACCTGATGCAGGGAAACGCAAGCGAGAAAGAATTATACATATGGGAGCCACAATATCGTGTCAAACTGGTCGATCATCCAAAAGTTGAACGAGTCCTTCAGGTTAGTTGAAGCGGCCAGTAATCTCAGCAGCAATAGATCCCCCTCAACTAACAGTCCAGAGTAGGACTGTGCGCGCCTATCACAAATAGAATCCATCTGGGAGGCATCCCGCAGTTGCATTCTCGGGGTAACCCACGTGTGTGAGAAGCAATGGGGCCAATATATATATATATATATATATATATATATATATATATATATATATATTCTTAGGTATGGCTCCATATGAAATAAGCTGCCAAAAGAGAATAGATGCATTGAATAGTTTTGCATGTTCAAGAAAATGATAAAGATTTCTCTGTCAACTGATAAAGTGTAATGGATCTTAAAAATTCAACTTGATGATGAAAAGCTGTATAAAGAAGGTCCGGATCATGTATGATACCGGAGAACATCGACTGGAAACATATCCAACAAATGCACCAGAGCAAACATGATCACATGGGATGAGCTGTTACAACCGCTTCTTAGTCTAGTCTTTAATGCAATTTATGCGGTTTAGTCCTTTCAAACTTAATTCATGCCAACTGTCTTTTGATCTAAAACCGGGAGTAAAACTACCTACTGGTATGGGACCAGGAATTACCTTCGTATTCCTCCCTTCAAATCGACTAATTCGTAAGATTTGTTCTGCGATTCCCTTCGCTACATTTGTTCTATAATGCTAACCATTTCCCCTTCTTTTCTGGAGCTAACAGTCCAGAAACATATACTGGAATTCGGTGATGGTAATAACGGATTCCTTATTTGACTTTTGCCTATGGACAACTCGTGCAGTTATCTGTCTGCGAGTGTCACGCCGCACAAATATATATATATATATATATATATATATATATATGGTGCAGATATTGCGCCATCGGAATCATGGCGGAATAAGAAAAAAACATGCAATAATGGCGATAGTCGTAAAACACTATGCGTCGAATTCCATTCCTATCTCGGCTATCCGCCTGATGATTCGCAAAAAAAGAAACCGTCGGTCGTGGAGTGCAGGCATGGGAGAGATCCACACCGAAATCCTCCACTTCGGTGACGATCCCAGTGACCGTAGTGGCAGAGGCTAACTTCAAAGTCAAATGAGTCCACAAGTGAAACTGCGTGTCTTAATCCAAAATACATGGTGGGTGCACCAAAACCCGAAAATAAATAAGCAACTTATTTCATTCCACTCGTAAATTATACCCATGGAAGTGCAAGAACACACTCTTGCGAAGAGTACTCTATTCGATAAATCTCCTAGGGCACTTACAATTATAAAGTGGAAGGGCAGAGCACAAATAGCTGATGAAGCCAAAGGGAATCACGACGAACAGAAACTCAAAGGTCTTGACGGATAAAATCGACTAACCACACATGTGACAGAGCACGTGTTGGTTGATCGGTGGAATGCAAAGCGCATCATCCGATCACTGTAGGCGCACGAAGTGATAAAAAATTGGTAAGTCAATTAGAGCCAAGGTAGGAGAAGCCATTGCAGTAAAGCTTTCTGTTTGCATAATTCCGGTTGAATTATCCTAATCGCGATCGCTTCGGTCGTATGTTAGATTTGCTTCCTAAGACCTTTAGAGTACCGTTGCTGTAGTAGGTAAAGTACTTGGAAAGCATCAGCGGTCCTAATTTGGTGTTCGCTTTCCAGCAGATGTTCCTGGATGGAACTGTTCGGGCGGCTGACGATGCCTTTCCGCAAAGCCGCTGGGAAGTGCTCCGCAATGCGTTTAGACAGACGGTTAGTTGTGTGTCCCACGTACCTCGAACCCCAGGTGTAGGTAAACTGATATGATTGGGACTGAACCGGAAGTTTGTCTTTAACACGTTGGGCTATAAAGGGAGCGGTTTCCGCAAGGACGTGTGGGTGCAGGCGGCCGGGAACATTCGAGCCACTGTATTGGAAATTCTTCTGGTCAGAAGATCAAAGGCAACATCGCCTTTAAAGAGAACTGATAGGAACACGTCCTTCTTAGGGACAGTAGTAATCACTTCGTGGCTATCGCAGATCATTGCATACGTTTTGATGGCGTCGGGTAACCGTTATCTTGCAGCGTTTTGAGAATACGGATTTTTCCGGTCTCTAGCGTCCCTTGGCGGCAAATCTTCGTGGCACGAAAATACAAACAGGGAACAAGATTACGTTTGAATCTCAAGGGTACAAAGCTTAGAAAATGTGTATATTGGACTACCCATGTGGCCTTCCGGAATACACT